CTATGTGATTGTATCACCCATTCAAAATTTTAAGCTAAGAAAAAACAAATTTGACTTAATGTTTTTTTTTTTCTTTTTCTTAACATATGTTTTAATTACGAAAATATTATCAGTCTGGGTAAAAAATCAGGAAGTAGGGGCAAAATCTGGACATTGCAAAGGCACTGGTTTAAGAAATACTGTGTATAAGTAAACTGATAGTAGTTGGAGAAAAATGACTCCCTCTTTCTCTCATTTACATTCTTTCTTTTTTCTTCTTCCATTATAATCACAGACCACCGAGTCTCTACAWATGCACATTTTTCCAGGGGAAAGTCAGATATTTGGAGCCATAGGGTTGCCTTGGGGACTGACCCACCATCTGATGGCAAAGTTCATGGTTCATAATTTCATGTTCCTTACAGACAAAATAGGAGCAAATCTTATAGTTGATGTACATACATTGTAAACTGGTGGAGCATAACTAATTAATGCATGACTGACTGGCTAGTGCACAAGACTATGCAATCAAATTTCTCACCTCAGTACTCTGTGGTGGTACTTTTATCATTGGGTGAGACTGTAAGGCAGGAATTTTGTACCAATTCTAGAAGTCACTGCATCTGTAACTGCCATGTTGCCTCCAGTGTGTTTTCATTTCCAAATTATTGCCTTTGCTTTTTCATATACATATATTTTTTTTCTTGTAATAGCTTATGCTTGTGTGTATGTGTGTGCAAGTATGTGCTTGACATCAAACACAGGGCCTTGCACATGCTAGGTGTTTTAGTCAGCTTTTTTGTTGCTGCGACTAAAATACCTGACCAGAACAATTTTAGGGGAGGAAAAGTTCATTTGAGGCTCAGGGTTTCAGAGATCTCAGTCCATGGACAGTAGGTTCCATACCTTGGGGTTTGAGGCGAGGTTGAATATCGTAGTGGAGTGTGTAGCAGAGGGAAGCAGCTCACATGATGATCAGCAAGCAGAGAGGGAGAGAGAGCTCCACTTGCCAAATACAAACACATACCCCAAAGCCATGCCACCTCCTCCAACCATATCCCACCTGCCTTCAATTAATACTCATTTAATACTCAGGTGATTAATTCACTGATTGGGTTAAGGCTGTCATAACCCAATCATTTCTCCTCTAAACCTTCTTGCATTGTCTCACACAGGAGCTTTTGGGGAACACCTCACATCCAAACCACAACACTAGGCAAGTGCTCTGCCACTGAGCTAAATCCCCAGATACTAAAAAGATCTCAACTTGACCAAGAAAATCAAATACCATACTAACAACTACACTATTATATATGGTTAATTTTCAGTGAAAATAATTTTACCATGAAAACAAACCTCTTTAGCTGTAATCTCAGTGACTCTGGAAGCTGAGTCAGGAAGATCAAAAGTTTGAGGCTAGCCTCAGCAACTTTGTGAGATCCTGTCTAGGGTTTTTTGTTGGTGGTGGGTTTTTTTTTTTTTTTTTTTTTAAGGCAAGCCTCTTTCCTTACAATTAGGCTTTTATCTCCAAATATGGTCCTTAGTGTAAAAGTCTTCAATGGCTGCGCATCTTACTTAGAAAATAAGGTTCTTATACTTCTGCCTGGAACCAAGGCCCAAACAATCTAGTCCCTCTCTACCCTCCCCCTCATTTCTTCAGTTGAACTATTTTAGTCTGTTTAGTGATTAAACATTTCTGAATTTGCCTGCATGAAGCACCTYGTTCCTCATCTTTGCCACCTATCTTTTCTTGTAAGGCTTAACGGAAATCTCATCCATTCTTCTTCCACACACCCAACCCACCCTCAGCTCCTACAAGGTTGTTTCTCCTTTGAATTCCTGTAACACGTGTAATCACTAATACTTAGCATGTGCTATTTTTCACACGTTGCTGTATATCTTTTTTTTACTTTTTAAAAACTGGGCCCTCTTCCTTGAAGTCCAGCAGAGAAAGTCAAGTTTAAACCATGACAATATAATGTACAAAATGACTAAGAGTAGTCATTTTCTTATGTATATACCTGTTTCTCATCCAGATTGAAAGCATTTGTCTCATATCAGTTATGATTTTTAGGATAATGTTTTATTCATATCACATGATTAATAGATACTGATTGACATCCAAAAAGATGACTGATAGGCTCAAGAAATAAAGCTGACATGAATGTGTGTCCTGACACCATAAGACTCAAGAAAACCCATCTATATTGCAGGCATCCTGCAGCCTCTCTAGAAATAAATGGACTCATCAGTTTTCTTTTTTTCCTCCCAAGAACTTMTTTTATATAGGAAGCCCTTCCAGACCTATTTCCCTTAACTTTGAGCCATTATTCCCTTACTCTCCTAAACATTTAGTTTGGGCTGGATTGGTTAAATTTATACATTAAAAAAATTATAAATAAAATGGAACTCAAAAAAATGTTGAGTACTTGGCTGAACACTGAAAATACTATGCTAAGTGAAAAAAGCCAAGCACAAAAATTTAAATAATTCCTTAAATAATTCTTTTAATATGAAAGTACAAAATAGTTAAATCTATAAAGACAAAACAGATTAGTGGCTGTTAGGGTCTGTTGGAGTAGGGGACAGTGGAGGAATGAGGAAGGTTTCCCTTTGAAATGATGAAATGTTCTAAAATTGACTGATAATGACCACATTTATCTATGAATATACTAAATACTATACACTTTAAATAAGTGAATTTTATATGTGAATATAAAATATTTTATATGTGAATCTATAAATTATGTGAATATCTCAATACAGCTCTTCTTTTTCTTTCTTACTTTTTAATTTTATTCTATTTTATTGCCAGGCATGATGACACATGTCTACAATTCGTGACTCGGGAGGCTGAGGCAGGAGGATTAAAAGTCCTAGACCTGCCTTGGCAAGACTTTTAATCCTCCTAAACTTTCCAAGACTCTGACTCAAAAAAAATAAAAAGGGCTGAGGATGTAGCTCAGTGGTAAAGTGCCCCTGAGTTTAATCCCCAGTACCAAAACAAACCAACCAACAAAAACAGAAGAAAATTTACGTATGCATATGAGTACATATGAATTGAATAAACTCACTTAATGAATCTAAAATACTAAAAATGCCCAAAATATTCCACTCAAGTATCTCCAGGGCATATTTTTTAATCTAAGTACAGATCAGCAATAGGAAAGTAAGCACCAAATGCAGCCCCTCTGGCCTCCAGTTATCTTTCTGCCAATGTCCCACAAGAACACTTCATGCCCTTATCTAGCCAGTGATTGTGACAATGACCAATGAATGAGCATAGTACTTTTTTGCAGGTCTGTGCTTTGGCTTACCCTGATGTGAAATCCTTTCTACCTTCCATCCTTTAAAACTAAGCTCAGGGGCTGAGGTATTATTCATGAGTTCAATCCCCAGCACCTCCCATACATACAGAAGAACTAAGCTCAAAATTTTTTTATGAAACTTTCCCTACCCAACCCAATCTCCACTGTCTAGTGTACACAATCACTCCTTACTTTGGGTCCCACAACATGACCTATACCTACTTCATACAAGATTTGTACAATAGGTACTTTATATCTTATAATTGTAGGGTAGCCAGGTGCAGAGGTATACACTTGCACTCCCAGAGACTTGGGAGGCTGAGGCAGGATTGCAATTTTGAGGCCAGCCTCAGCAATTTAGTGAAACTCTCAAAAACCTAACAAGACCCTGTCTCAAAACAAAACAAAATAAAATAAAATAAAAAGGGCTGGGAATGTAACTTAGTGGTAGAGTGCCCCTGGGTTCAATTCCCAGGACTCCCTCAAAAATAAATAAATAAATGTGTAGGGCACTTGAGAGAAGTACCATTTTTATATTCTCAACTTAATATTGTTAACTAATGCTATATAAAGAAATATTGAAAAATAAAGAAAAATGTCTAAACCATCTCATTAAATGAATGAAACAGTATATATCTAAAGGATGCACAGTCCTGCCCTCATAACCAGTTCTCAGAAACAAATAGATAGTAGCAGTTCCCTTAAAGGTCTGGGGAAGATTTTAGTGGTCAGTGAAGTGGAAGATGAGAGGAAAAGTGGCGACAGGACCACTCCAGGATGCTTTTTCTTTAAGCAAGGCTCAACTAAATTGGTCAGTGACTAACAAGGATTACTTGAAAGAGTTCTTCAAAGCTTCCTGTTCCAAATACTTCTTCCATATTATACCATTAACAATTGAAAAGTCATCATTAGGACATTAGAGGATCATCAGTCTTTTTCTTCCAAGTACTGGAGATTGAATTCAGGAGGACTTTACCACTAAACCACATAATCTGAGCCTTTTTTTAACTGAGACACTAAATTGTTGATGGTGGTCTCAAACTTGTGATCCTCCTGCCTCTGAGTTACTGGGAGTACAGGCACATACCACCATTCCCAGCTTTTCGGAGTCCAGCTCCAACAGGGGGTCTCAGGAGACAAACAGATGGTGAGGAGTCAGCGAAAGGGGGGTGGAGAAACAACAGACACAAAAGTGAAGGTGCTGAATCCCAATTTTTACTTGTGAAGTTAATCATATATACTTTTCATTTTGGCAGGTTCACAGTACTTTGTGGTTACAAAACAGGAATCATTATTCAAAGAAACAACATCGTAGCTACAATTAGATAAGAAGAATATATCTTGGCTTATGCATAAGCAAGCATTTTTACTTTCAGTTCGCGATTTGCTTTGAGCTGTTTCTGCTTAGTTAGCTTTTAATAATAGTTAGAAATGTCCCAGACTATTGACCTATACCTTGACTATTCTTTCTTGACTTACTGACTAGAATTGGTGTCACAGTTATGGCAAGTAGTTAACTTGAAAAGAGAGGCTACTAATTTTAATCAAACAAGAGCAAGAGCACCAAACCATTGTGCACAGGAACAAGAACAAGTTGCCCACTACTAAGCACTAATCTGTCTTCTTAACATTAATTCTTCTTCTCTAGATTTTTAATTTAATTTCTCAAAAAACTTCCTTGACTGTTTTTCCTACAGGGGGTTTTTCATTAAACATTAACAATTTACGTTCCACAGCTGAATCATTGCATTTAGAGCAAACAGATTTATTCTTTAGAAGCAGTTGCATTTATTGAGAAAGTCATGTTTTCTCCTTCATACTTAATGGTCATATGAGAAGTCGAATACTTCTTAAAGGAATACAAAAACAAACCAGCCCATTCCCAGAAACATACTGCGCTCCTCCAGAGGATGGAYGCCTTGCCATTGCCTGAGTCAGAGGAGGGGCGCAGCACCAGCTGGTACTGTCCTTTCCTAAAAGGCACATAAACTTGAGAGGGAAGTGTGGTTTCAATCATGCCAGCCAGCTGAATGCCAGCTAATTGAGTAACAATGCCTACATGCAGCATGATAGGAACGTTCTGATCAAGCAAAAATGAAAGGACTACAGCCCAGAAAGCAAAGAGTAGGAAGAAAGAAGGGCCTCAAAAAAGCTGGGTATGAACTAACTTCAGAGGTTGGCGTGGACTGGCAGGAATCCAGTCAGCAGGGGGGCCACTGGCAGCAGACAAAAGGATGCTTGCCACTACATTGTCAGAATGTAGTGATGGAGAGTATGGCTACAGAATTCGAGAGTAGAGGGGAAGTAATGCAAGAAGAGATATGTAAGGGGCTTAATAAATTCAGATATTCATGAGGGTAGAAAGGGAATGAAACAATCAGAAGAAAGAACAGAGGCAAAGACTGGTCTGAAGAAGTGGTTATCGGTTCAGAAGTTAGCCCTCCCTCAGCTTATAACATCTTCCAACATTTGGCTTTTTTCTTCATCCTTTGCTGCTCACACATCATCTTGTCCCTATTCTCAGCTACTTGTCTGAGAAGCAGACAGTCACACAAGATATTTGGTCTCACACCTTTTCATGCCAGTGTTGGGCTGTGCCCCAGCCTCACACCAAATTGCACCAAAAAATGAAAAATTATTTCATCTCTCTTTATTGTAAAAACATTATGATATTAATTAAATTCCAGGAGGTTCTGGGCTGGTCTTGTTTGGTCTCTAGTGCTTTAGGTGAGGCAGTAGTAGGAGCTATTGTGTGACAGTCAAAGGCCTATGTCAAACCATGGGTATATCCCCAGGTGTGACAGAGCATGAGCTCTATCTCTTACAAAGAATGGAGGTGAAAACAAACTGCTTTGAGAAGACAATTGAGCAAGAGGATCTGGTACCAGAAGTATCTGGTGGGAAAGTGGAGAAGGTGAAGGGATCTTCACGGGGATCTTCCACTCCTTTCCTTTCTGCTATTGTGGAAGGGTAGAGGCACATGACCCAGAAAAGGGCCAAAGAAGGTAGYAGTTACTTGGATCCCATTAGCGGTTGGACCACTCCAGGGCTGGTCAAATGGTATTGTCAGGGGGGGGAATGCTGGCCATAAGAATGGAGACAAACTTTTCTAGTTTCTTTGCAGCTTGTTTTCCAGTCTCTAATACTTCCTCATGAGTCGTCTTTTCCAGGCTTTCATAATYCATGATGACCTTGTTAGTGATAAGGGAGAAGCCAAAGACTCGAAGTCCACAGTGCCGTGCAACTATAACTTCTGGTACTGTGCTCATGCCTGATTTGGAAAAAGAGAGAAATAAACTGYTTGGGATCCACAAATGACTCGTCCCCACCTTCGAGACTATCTTTTTTTCTTTTGAGGGGGAGGGTGGGGTGGGATGAGGCCATACCAGGAATTGAACCCAGGGGTGCTTAACCACTGAGCCACATCCCCAGCCCTTTTTAAAACATTTTTATTTGGAGACATGGTGTTACTGAGTTGCTTAGGGCCTTGCTAGGTTGCTGAGGCTGGCTTAGACCATGTTTCTTTGTGTGTGTGTATGTATGTGTGGTGGAATAGCGTATCAGGAATTGAACCCAGAGGTGCTTAACACTGAGGCACATCCCTAGCCCTTTTTAAAATTTTTTTATTTGGAGACAAGGTGTCACTGTATTGCTTAAGGCCTTGCTAGGTTGCTGACGCTGGCTTTGAATTTGCAATCCTCTTGCCTCAGTCTCCCAAACCCTTGGTGCACAGGCATGCACCACCATGCCCAGCTAGACTATCATTCATAACTTCCTTGAGAATTTAAAAATTCATCAGGCACAGTGGCACGTACCTGTAATCCCAGAAATTTAGGAGGCTGAGGCAGAAGGATCTCAAGTTCGAGGCCAGCCTGAGTAACTTATTGAAACCATGTTTCAAAGTGAAATATAAAAAAGGGTTGCGGATGGAGCAGGAGTTATAGCTCAATTGGTAGAGCGCTTGCCTTGCATGCATAAAGTCCTGGGTTCCATCCCCAGCACCACAAAAGAAAAAAAAGGGGGTGGGGGTTGAGGGTATAGTTCAGTGATAGAGCATCCTTGATTCAATCCCCAATACTGAGGAGATAGGAAGGAAGAAGAGAGAAAAAGAACAAAAAACTTCAGTGCTTCTCTTTCATGCTCAAAATAGAACCCAA